CTGGTGGGGCAGCTCCTCTCCCCTCGTCAGGCGTGGCTCCTGGAGGCTTGCAGAGGACCTGCGGGACCTGAGACCTGGGTTGGCACCCCGTGGGCAGTCCCTGCTCGCCAGCCCCGCTTGCCAACGGTAGACAAGCTCTGGCTCGTGACACACACACCCCCTCCACCCCTCTATCCACTCCAGGGAAATTCTCTATCATCCGTGGACACAGCACATCTTCTTCAACCAGTTCTGATTCCCAACCTTGGGGTCATGGGGAGGAGTCTTCCAAATTTCTTCCCTCCTTGGGTACTCACCCTCAGCCCTGGAGACATTTTACCTTGAGCAGCTAACCTTTTCAACTAGTTAATCATTCTTCCTATTACATTTTCCCTTTCAAATTAAATTACAGATGTGGTTTCCATTTCTGACTGGACTGTAATATATAATGTATATATTATATGCATATTTGTATGATATGTGTATAATATATACATGTATATGCATGCGAGCTCAGTCATGTCCAACTCTTTGCAACCCCATGGACTGTAGCCCGCCAGGCTCCTCTGTCCGTGGCAATCTCCAGGCAAGAAAACTGCAGTAGGTTGCCATTTCCTCCTCCAGTGGATCTTTCTGACTCACTTTAATGCGGGATTAAACCCGCATCTCCTGCATTGGTAGGCAGGCGAGTTCTTTACCACTGTGCCACCGAGGAAGCCCATATATATTTGTATATGTATTAACATATATTAATATTTAGTTGGGGCTTCCCAGGAAAAGGAAATGGCAACCCACTCCAGTATTCTTGCTGGGAAATCCCATGGACAGAAGGGCCTGGCAGGGCTACAGTCCATGGGGTCACAAAGAGTCGGACACGACTGAGTGACCAAACAACAATATTCAGTTGGGGGCTATAATCATGCATATTACAGCTTGCTTTCTTTTTACTTACCAAGATATAATGGGCATCATTCCAGGTCTGCACGTAGAATCGCAATTCATTCTTTTAATTCATACCTGGCACGTCATCACATACTTGTAAAATTTACTTAGCCATTCCTCTCTGTAAGGAATAATTTCCAACTTGAGTTTATGGGTAGTTTCCAATTTGGGCTACTATACACAGTGCAGTAATGAACATGTTTTTTTGGTGAACATGACTGTTTCTGAGGAAAATTCTTGGAAGAGTAATGAATCACTCTGTGCTAGAATTATGCAACTTTTGAAAGATGTGGTGAAGTTATTCTTCCTAACAGGTTAAAATTCCTCCTCAGTGTGTTCCTGAAGTACGTTTAGCTTTGCAAATTTTGTTAGAGATTTTCATCCTTAGTTACTTATGTACTAATTAAAAAAAGAAAGAAATAGGACTTTTAAAAAGATCTTTATGATGAAAGAAAAGAGATAAACACATAAACATGTGTAACAAAAGTAGGAACAATAAGAGAGAGTATAGAAGAGAGATGAGTTGAGAATTCTAAACTCTGTGGCTTCAAAATAGAAAAGCGCTACTTGCTGCAAGGCAGTAGCAGCAAGTCCGTGGGATTTCCCTGGCAAGGAGCCAGGATGACATCTTGCTTCAGGACATGCTAGCTCTCAAGTGCCTTGGTCTTTGGGCAGGACTATTAAACACTGCCCTGCCTGTACCCTGGGAGGCCAGTCATCAGAGTGCTGCAGCAAAAAAACAGAAATGAATGAACGGCCTTTGGTATACACCAGCCAAACAGGCCTGTAAGAGTTAAACAATCTTGGTTATTCTTTAGCTGTTGCTACTAACAAACACTTGTAGATAGACTTGTCCTTCACAAAGCTAAACAAAGCTAATCAAAGCTAATTACTCTCTGACTTCATATGAGTTGTACTCTGAACCTGGCATTCTTCCCCCCATACTCTTGTACCATTCTACATTTCAGAAAGAAGGTCATGGGCGGATAACTTCAGGGACACCAGATCCCATTGCTGAGTTGCCTGAGGCCAGCTGTGGCCGTTTTGAAAATTTGAAAAAGAAAGAAAGAAAAAATACAAGGCCTTCATGAGGCTATGAAACCTCTCCCTTTTCCTGAGAGAGGAGGGGCATACCTCTTGAGGCGTTAAGTCTACTGTGTTTCCCTTTTGCCTGGTGAAAATAATAAGGCTACTCTTCTGTTTCCTCCCAACTGTCTCTGCATTTCTGTTTGGCGTCGCTGGGCAGGCAGCTAAGATTTTGGCAACAAGGTGCAGGTGGACCTGGAAGGGGCGGTTGTTGAGATCTGAGAGCCTGTTCAGTGCTCCTATACGTGTTCTCGTCCAGCCGCTGAATTATTGTCATCAGAAACTTCCTATTGAACACAAAGAGCTAATAATGGGGGTGGCTTTGTCACCCGCAGGAATGTTAGACCTGAGGAGCCAGTGCTAGAGCCTGAGAAGATTGAATCCACCTCACTCTTCTACAGACAGTTGTGCTTCCAGTTACTGGCAGGATGAATCACGTTTCCTATAAATATCAGAACAGTCCGTTTTCATATTCTATCTTTAACCTGGGTGAAGTCATTTCTCACAGGCTTGAAACTGTGGATTAAATCGTCTTGTCCTAGACCATTTCAGGATGATAATGCAAGTGGAAAGGCCAGACTTCCATTTCCAAGAACAGAGTTGTTGTTATTGTTGTTTAGTCGCTAAGTCATACCGACTCTTTGCAACTGTAGCCCACCAGGCTCTTCTGTCCATGGGATTTCCCAGGCAAGAATACTGGAGTGGGTTACCATGTCCATCTCCAGAGGATCTTTCCGACTCAGGTATCAGATCTGAGTCTCCTGCATTGTCAGGCATTGGCTAGCGGATTCTTTACCACTGAGCTATCAGGGAAGCTCCCAAGAAACAAGATAGGATGTAAATTATCCAATGCAGGCTTCTGTCCTTCAGGAAATATTTTCAAGAGCAGTGTGTTGCACTCAGGAAGGTCAGGATCATAGACTTGGAGCTCAACTGAATAGAGTTGAAATCTGGTCCCTCCTACTTTCTAGCAGTGTGACCTTGTTTATTGCTTAGCATCTCTGAGCCTTGATTTTCTGATCTATAAAATGGAAACAGTAACACCTCTCTATCACTGTTACAGAGTCCTCATTTTTAGCCTCAGCAAGTGGCTAGACCCAAGGCCTGGAGTTGCTAATTTGGTAGCAGCAAGAAGCCCCTAGCCAAAATAAACTCACTGTCTCCTGGCAGGGTGGCCGGATCTGGAGTGCTAGGAAGACATGAGTGAGGATGGGGTGGGGAATGGTGAGGATTCTTTCAAATGATGGAATAAGCAGTAATGCAGGGTGATCAGAAATAGTACTGAGCTTCTGATTGTGCATTTGGGAGCTGGAGAAATATCAGCAGCCATGGGTGGGAGTGGGGAGTCACAGACATAGAAAATTAGGTCTGCATTTGAACCCCTTGGCTTATGCTAATTAATCAGAACAGGCTTGGGGCACTCAGAGGCAGCCCAAGGGATTTCCCATCTGCAGACATCCTGTTCCAGGCTATATATCAGAGTGGTTACTTTGCCACAGGGTGGCTCAGGACAATAAAAAGTGAGCCAACAAAATTATCTCTGCCTTGGCAATGTTAATTATATCACCACCCCAGAAGCAACTACCACTGAAACTGTAGCAGGTACTGGTTCCATGTATTTCTGTATCCCTTTTCAGATATATCTATATATAGAGAGATGGAGAGATATATGGCACATACCATGTCCCAGTTTGTGGTTCATTCTTTAGTTTTTCAACATTGTTTTGATGTGTTTAAAATAGTCTGGAGAAGAGAGTGTTTCTGCTTAGATAAATTCACAAAGGATAGATCTAGAGTGGGTTAGTAAAGAAAAGGGAAGGCTTTTTAAGAAATAACTCTGACCTTTCAGTTTGAGAGCATAGAAAATTCTTTCACAAAATTCTGGGTTTAAGGGAACACTGAACTAACTCTGTGACATTTTTCATTTTCCTTTGCATATATTAGGGGTTTGGGGCATCTGGAAGGAGCTGAGGGTAGGCAGAAAAGAGGCAGACACGCTAAACACCACAAAAATAATAAATCCTAACCTGGCCTTTCAAGTCATTCCAAAGAAGCAGCAGGAGAAGAGAATAGTTTATATTCATACATACTATTTACGGCCCCAGATTTTACTGTGGCCCAATGCAAACATTGGACAGATCTGAGGATGGGAAGACAGATATGCTGTGGGGTCAAGAGGGATGCAGGGGGTGCTGGCAGCGCTCTTCACAGGTCTCCTCTCACCCTTTTTAATCCCCCTGGGCTCCCCACCTTGCCCCCTACCTTCCCCTATCCCCATGAGCTTGCCAGCTGAAAGGGGATGCTTCTAAAAGTTCACACCTTTATGTGAGGGGCTCTGTTAGGGACTGCCCTCTACTTGGAAGTTTTAAGTTCCCCCACCTGGGGCAGCTCTTAGCCAAGGATGGGGGGCTGAGAGAAGATGAAAGCCTGGCTCCCTGGCCCCTGGTAGAGTGGGACTCTACGGATGATCTCCAGTCGAGAGTTCTCTATCCAGACCAGGCTGAGATCACAGAGGCATGGCCTGTTTTACCTGCCTCCTCCTCTTCCCTATCCTGCTCCCCACTTCGCGCTGGTGTCTCAGAGAGCACTTCCTGGGCAAACCTCTGGCACAAGAATCCTCCACTCGGAGTTTACTTCTGAGCCTCCTACAGAAGATAGGCTTTGGTGGTGGCAGGGGTGGGGGTGGGGTCAGTTTTGTTCTTGTTTTGAAGGAAGGAGAAATTACAGCATGCTTTGTATCCTGAGGGGGATGATCTGGGAAGAGCTGGGGGTAATGGAGATAGGAGGGAAGGCTGTGGAGGCGACAGCTTTGAGTAAGCAGGAAGGCGCAGTCCCTATACTAGTCGTTAACTCTTGGGAGTAACAAGGGCAGCTCACCCTTTCTTGACTGGAGAGAAATCAGCAAAGGAGGCTTAATGTGCAGGAGGGCAGGGAGACTTGGTGGTAGAAGGTAGAAGTCTCTTCTGATCACTTTCCTTAAATTAATGAGACCATCACGTGAGCGTGAGGGACGTGAGGATGATAGAGGTCTGAGCAGACCAAAGAAGGTGTAAAAGAATCTGAGAAAGCAAAAGCCTGTCAGAACTAGGGACGTGTCACAGGATTTCCAGGAGACACTGAACATCTATTTGAGGTTTGTAGTCACTGGCGTTAAATGAGACCAGGTCTGCAATGTTGTCTTTTTATACCAGCCACAGCCAAGAATTTTAGGACAAACATGGCGTGAACAGACGTATGGGATCAACCAGAGTTTGGATTCTAGAGTTTAGTTTCTGAAGGCAAGGGTGTTGAGGGTTGGTGCAAGAGAGTGAGTTTAATGACGACACACAGAAAAAGAGGGAGAGAGGGAGTGAGGGGCAATGTTGACATTGGAAAGATGGCAGACAGGGCCAGTGGGTTGACTGGAGGTCCTGGTAGCATCGAAGACAGCTGGAGGGAGGGTCCCAGAGGAAGTGAGACCAAACGACGGAATGTGGTTGTCAGAGAGCAGCACACTTGAAATCGAGGCTTGGGTGGAAGTGCAGATATTGGTAATGACAAAATGTTGTGGATTCGTGATTGAGAGGGCATGGAGGTGAGGCTCTCTTAAAGGAGATAGGGAAGATCGAGGACAAATGCGTGTGAAATAAAGGGAAAGTGCATGCCAAAATGAATTTATAAGTGAATGAACTCTCCCTTTTTGTGTGTTCTTGTATTTCCCAAATATTCCACAATGAACATATGTCACTATATAAGCGGGAAAAAGTTATTAAGTAAAATCAAAGATACTACTTGGAAGTATACAGGGAAATTTTTTTTTATTTATTGGTAAGGCAATTACTACTATTTACAAGTGGCTGGTTCACAAAGTTCACAGAGTTATTCCCAGTCAAGAATTGTACCAATATTTCCAGGCATCTTAAACAAACATTTTAAATGAGACCAAATGAGAGATGTGAGTTTCACAGTGTTGAGTGTATACTTTATTTTAAGAAATGCCTATTGTAAAATGCACCTATATTTGTATTTGTTGTATTTGCATTTGCAGTAAGAAACCCTGAAATCATCTATGGGATAAAGAGGAGGGAGAATGGAACATTCAGTGGGCAGAAATGGGAGCAAGACTCTTCTTGAACACTTTTTCATATTTTCTTATCTTTGAACAATGTAAAGATAGCACCTGCTCAAAAATACATTTAAACAGTAAATTTTAATACAATCTAAAATTGTTAATAGAAAAACTTTCTTTTAAAATTTTGCATATGCAAAAGTTGTGTTAAATACAATGTTTATATTGCCAAATGGGTCTTTTTTTAAACAGGAAATTCCCTTAGTGTTTTTTAAAAAGGGTTCTACTTTCAGAAATTTAGTTTCTGCTTAAAGATATAAATGTGTCACTTTTACCACATCTTTAAGAGCAAATGTCAGACTTTGGACAAGACTCAGATCCTGCCAGAAAAAAAAGTTAAAAGAAAAACAACTTATTACATACAACATCTCACTAGAGGTATCAAGTTGAGAGGATGCATTGGAGCAGGTTTCATACAGATTAACCACTGGCCCTGACAATAAACCTGAGAATTCCGAGCCATGGACCCTAATCTATAGTCAGGGACCAACCCTGAGGGCCCTGGCCGAGAGAGATGCTGTGTGCAGATTTCAGCCTAATTCAGGCCACATCTGGAGGCAGTCTTCCTATTCATGTGTTTTCAGGTGAAAGAAGCAACCAATTTTCTTCTTTGCTTTAGTTGGTTTGAGGTGGGTGTGCTGCATCTGAACTGTCCTGACCCCAACATGGAATTTAATACAAGATTGTAAGTTTTCTGCTCCCAGAGCACCTGAATGTCTGTCTTCACACTGGGCAGTCATCTCCCAAGAGACAATCCCGTTCACAGCCCAAGAGAAGCAGCTCCTGCACAAACACCTTCCTCACACTAAAGCAAGAAATGAGTGTGGCATGGACCGAATTTTAGGGGAGGACAGAGAGAGGGGCAGTGAACCACCTTCTCATCATCAACCAACATCCAAAACACGACTGTGCAAAGGGGACACAGAATTACAACAATAGGTGGGCATATACAAGGGAAACAGAAGCTCATTCAAAGCCATGGACAGTGGTTCTGAGCTAAAAGGAATCTTAAAATATACCTGGTCCCACCTTTTATTTCACAGATGCCCAAATTGAGGCCAATCTCTTTTTTCTCAGGGTGCACAATTAAATTCAAGACTACAATCCAAGGCTTCAATAAAGAAAGCTTTTACTATTTAGGCTTATCAGAAAGAAAAAAAAGACAGAATCTGTGTTAGAAAACAGGGCACGTTTTATGGCTATAATGAACTGCCACTGATTTCTATGATGCCTGGGAGGTTGGAAGCGATGGCCAAAGGGTCTTTCAAGTCTAAGAACCAATCAAAACTCTCTCTCTTCCATGGTCACTGTTTTCCTGTGGTGCAAGGAACACTGCTTTTTTACATAGTGGGAAAGCAGCCTGAAGCATCTGTTTTTTAATTTCATTTCTGGAAAAGAAAAAATAAAATAAAATAAAATTCAACTCTGATAGTAATTTTTGAGAATACGAAAATTTTTATGACTTTCTAACAAACATATTCCTAGCAATGTGTATTGAATGCTTACTCTGTGCCAGACATGCATTTTTAAGGAATTACATCATTTAATCCTCAAAAAAAAATCATGAAGCAGGTACAATTATTGCCTTCACTTTACAGATGGGAAAAGTGAGACATAGAGGAGCTGAGGAAAGGGCCTCTGAACAATTAATAAGTGGAATTCTGGCAATCTGACTCCATGCATTCCACTTTTAATTCCTGTGCCATTCTGCCTCCTATTTTATGTCATTTCATTCGAAACCATTTCTGTTAGTCTCATTTCTATTTAAGAATCAGAAGAAGACATTTGTCTAAAACCACTTTCTCCCACTAGAATATAAGTGACAAGAGGGTAGGAGCTTTGCTCTATACCTTGCTGTAGCTCCAACTTCTAAAACCGTGCCTAGTACAAAGTATGCATTCAATAAACGTGTTGAATGAGCAAAGAGATTTCAAGAGAATATTATCAGAGTGATGAGTAAACATCATACATGGCCAATTGATTTAAGAATTCCCATGGTCTGGTGCAAACAAGCAAGCAAGCATAAGCTAATTACCTCTCTTTTGTATTTATCTAACTTTTCCATAAGCTTTGGCACAATATGTTGGCAGCGATTCTCCAGTAATGTCACATTATCTTCACCTATTTTAGCTTTTTTCTCCAGATATGTCAAGAAACTTCTAGAGGTCTGCAAGAGAATCAATGAAGTCACTTTTACTTGCCCACTGATTATCCATTGCATTAATAAATAAGGCATAGTATATATCCAGGAGGACCTAAATAGTATGGGGAAAGAGACAGTATAGAAATTGTAAATCTCTATACAATCTATATCAGTGTGTGTATGTGTGTTAGTCACTCAGGCATGTCCAACTCTTCGGGACCCCATGAACTGTAACCCGCCAGGCCCCTGCCCACGGCACTTCCCAGGCAAGAATACTGGAGTGGGGTGCCATTTCCTCCCTAGGGGATCTCCAGACCCAGGGACACCACATACCAAATAGACACAGCTCACTAACTACTCAGAAACAATTTGATGAGTAGATGCTATTATTATCCCCATTTTAAAGATGATATAACTGAGGCACAGAGAAGTTCAGTAACTTGCCCAAGGTCACAGAGCCAGTAAGTGGCAGAGCACTAATTATGCAATGTTTTGTGGCTCTAATAATGAGTAAGACTCAGTCCCCATTCCCGAGGAGCCCACAACCCATCTTTGGGATGGGTCTCTCTTCTCACTGAAGAGAGAAACAGTGGAAAGTCACAAGAGGCTAAAATCCCTGAGGGCCCTGAAAAGGTGGTGGGCTGGGGTAGGGGTTGGGGGGGGTGGAACGGAAGGACTCAAAGAGTATAGCTAGCCAAAACAGAGAATTAAACTGCAGATTAGTTAACCTACAGGTCTGACACCAGGAAACATGTTTAATGGATTATGAAACATGGTCCTTGTTATACTTACCACATGTAAAACAGCTTCCCACTCCTCAGTGATTTTTCTTTAAAAAAAAGAAGTTATTGGGATGTCCCTGGCAGTCCCAGGGAAGAGTGGTTAAGACTTTTTGCTCCCAAGGCAGGGAGCAAGGATTTGATCTCTGGTCAGGGGAACTAAGATCCCACATGCTACACAGCACAGCCAAAAAGTTTTAAAAAAAGAGAGAGGAAAATATTTGTCAATAATAACAGTTAGTCTGGAAAGAATGTGATATGGGAGGGCTACACTCAGCCTTTTCGCATGGGTGATATGCTCATTTCTGAGTTGGACAGGGGATGCATAGCTGCTCACTTGGTTCTACATTTTATAACTGCCATACATTTTACACATCTTTTTTTGGTGTTATCAAATATTATATAACTTAAAACCTAAAGAAAATAACAGTTGAATAACAAAATTAATGTTATAGGGTAAAATTTGAAAATTGGCCCCTTCCCAAATTAAATAACTGGCTTGTCACAAGCTGTTAGAAACTCAAAAAACAAAAAGTTCTGTGGCCTGGAAGAGATATGGGCAACTACTTTCCAGCCCTTGATTGTGATCAACCTAACAAGACTATCAGCAGACAGCATTATGTTAATATTTTTAAAATTACTATTGGTTCCAAGCTCTTGTACAACCCTGTAGAAAGGACACCCTCAAACATTCATCTCATTTGATTTTCACGAAACTCTTCATGGAAGACACTGCAGAATCCACTGAAGAGGATAGTCTCCCTCGAAAACCTCAACAAATGGAGGTGATGAACAACTGAATTCCACTCTGCCATTAGCTACCAGCTCCTCATTCCTTCATGGTGCCCTGCACAGTTCTGTATCATAAGACCCAGTGAATGCCCATAGCAGTCAATCATTTACTGCATGGTTACCATGTGCAAAGGGCTTCGCTGATGGCATAGTGCTAAAGCATCTGCCTGCAATGTAGGAGACGACATTCGATCCCTGGTTTGGGAAGATCCCCTGGAGGAGGGCATGGCAACACACTCTAGTTTTCTTCCCTGGAGAATCCCATGGACAGAGGAGCCTGGCGGGCTAGAGTTCAAAGACTGACAAAGAGTTGGCCATCACTGAAGGGACTCAGCATGCACACACGTACTATGTGCGAAATACAGGCTCCAGCTAACAGTTTATGTGCCTTATTTCATCTACTCCTCTTCACTGTCCTGGAAGGAAGTAGTATAATTGTCTATAACAGGCTGTATTAGAAAATGGAGGGAGACTCAGAAACGTTCAGTCACTTGCCCCACATTCAGGAGTTAGTCTGGACCTAGACTCCAGGCACATCACAATCCATGTTTCTAACCCTGTTTGATACTGACTCCCTTTCCAACATCTTTCCAAGCACTGCTTAAGGTGGTGTTCACAAAGATCCCATTGAGTACGGCTCACTCACCATCTGGACATTTGGAACTGACCCCCTCAGAAGGAAGATCATGCTCTTTAGGTCCTCTGAGGTGATGCCTTCTGACAGTTCGTAGAGCAGGTTTATAAGACATAGAGCAAAGAGACAAATTAAAGCCTCACACTTGCAGGACAGGCAGAAAATTAAGAGCTTTTATCAAACGTTATCTCTCGTTTGAATAACCACAGCCCTGTGAGTAGACAACTGTTAATCTCATTTTATAGATTTAAAAACAAAAACTTGTAGTATTTCAATTTGACCTATTCCACTATAAGCCTTGTTAATAACGGTGAGCCTTGTTGATCCCAGGTCTTCTGATTCCAGGTCCAGTGCTGTTTCAAATCCCACTAAAAAGGTGTAAAACACCACTGTGGCATGCCCACCCTTCTCCAGACCCCGTTCCAGAAATCAGGCTTACTTTATAGGCCCTCATCAGGGAGCACCCAATGCCAGTGAATATGAAGTTCACTTACAGAAAGGAAACTATCCCAGCTTCTGGAAAGCCATACACTCAACAATTGGAAAAACTGAATTTAGGAACTTCCCTGGCAGCCCAATGTTGGGCATAGTTATAATCCCTGGTGGAGGAACTAAGAGCCTACATACTAGGCCATGTGGCCAAAAAAAAAAGAGAAATTGAATACTTCATTCACACATTAACAGCTCTGCATGCCCAAGACCATTCCTCAGCTTTTTAACCAACAGAATGGAGTTAATAATTTCCAAAATTCTCTCACTGACCCAAGGGTCACTCAGGTTCTAGGAGTCAGTTCAAGTGTTCAGACCTGAGGCATTGTAATCGTCCAAGCTATAAAATAATATCACAGAGGTTCCTCCTTGTGAGGTTGCTTGATGTAGACACTATGTCAGTGGACAGTTTATAATAGTGTTGCCTCAGGTCTGTTCCCTTTGTTTTACCTCTTTGGGCAAAATGCCTATATTTTACCTGTCTGGGTTTCGCCCCAACTTGGGGAAATTGGACAAGGCATAAATGACGACTTCCCTACCCTAGAGACACATCTCCTTTTTCATTTTGTCATTTTGGCTCCAAGTGTGCTTCCCTGGTAACTCAGCGGGTAAAGAATCCGCCTGCAATGCGGGAGACCTGGGTTCAGTCCCTGAGTTGGGAAGATCCCCGGAAGAGGGCATGGCCACCTGCTCTTGCATTCTTGCATGGGGAATCCCCATGGACAAAGGGGCCTGGCAGGCTACGGTCTACGGGGACAAAAAGAGGCGGACATGACTGAGCGACTAAGCACATGCATTACTCTCTTTTCCAACGGCAGACACACCAGTGACTCCCAGGCGGGAGGAGGCTGAGAGCACGGAGGTTGACGAAGAGGAAGGCTGGAGGTGGGGCCTGCTGCCTGGAGCTGGGCCTCCTTCCTCAGTGAGAAGCAAAACAAAAGGAGGCCCCTCTCAGGCCCGGGCTGGATTTCAAAGCTTTGTTGACCTCCCAGCCATCCTTCTCATCAGCACCTGAAGCTGAGAAATCTCCTGGTTTAGAATCACCATACCACCCAAGGAGGTAGATAAGCGGGGGGAAAAAAGCTTAAAATCGGATTCATTTTTCATCTTAAGATTAAAGATCTTAACCCCGGCCCCTCACAGCCCGATGGCCCTGCCAGGTTGATCTTGATCACCTGAAGTGGGAGGCCCTGCCGCGGGCGTGCAGCCAGCTCTGCACCTGCTCCTTGGTGCAGCCGACGCGCTGCAGCAGGACCTCGTGCTGAATGGCGTAGAGGACCTCCGCTAGGAAGAAGGGGTCTTCCGCGCTCAGCAGCTCCCGCTGCAGCCGGCACTCGAAAATATCCAAGGCTCTGCTGCACGTTTCCAGTTTTCTGGGGGTGATGTAGTCTTGGCAGAGAAACTTCAAGCACTCCACGTCTCCATCCCCCAGGGCCAAGTTAATAATCAGAAGCTTCTTTCGAAAGTTCACTCGCCGGTTGTCATCTAAAGTGGAATTGAAACGTTGGCTTGGCGATGCCATGACCTTTCTGAAAGAGAGAAGGAGGTGGGGGGTGGGGGGGTCGCAGGTTAGAGAATGAGGACAACACAGCAGCCCAACTTCCCGGGCCCTCCCTCAGGTTAAACCTTCTCTGTTCCAGGCCTTAGACTTCTCCAGAAGGGCTGAAAGATGAAATTCACTGGGAGGTCACTTCAAAAACCTATAGCCCAGAAAACTTGATTCAAACAGTTAACCCTTTAGGAGGTCTGGAGAGAGCTTTCATTGGAACTCGGTTGACCCTGAGTTCTCCCAAATCAAAATGTTCCCACTGGGAGAGTTAGGTCTATTTGGTGGGAATTATTAGGACTTCAAGCCCAGGAGACAGCATCTCAGGTGACCCTGAGAGAACTGTTTGAGGAGGTAGGTGGGGGTTGGGGGGGTGTTAAGTGGGGAAGGAGTCAGGTTATATATTACTATATATATATTATATACATATAGGCTATATATATTATATATTATATAATAGAAGTTTGCAGCAAGGGACAGGTAATCTGAATATTAAAAGATTATTATTAATTAAGGAAAACCAGTTATTTCTCATTAAGGGATTTTGTGCCCTTCTATGTATAGGAAGATGCAAGTGTCTGGGTTCACTGAATTCATCCCTTTCATATGCATCTCAGCCATCTGGGGCCAAATCCTGCTTCTTAACTGTTCACATCCTTAATTCTTCATTCACCCTAAGGGGTGGCAAACTTTCTCCCACACATCCCCTGACACACACCCACACATCCACATAGCGCTTACTGGGGAAGTGGCTGATGGCTGCCAAATAGAGGTATTGTTCCATTTGGGATCAGAAATTTACATTTGGAAGGTTGAAATCCCTGATGGCTGTGATATTGTTTCCTGGTATAGCAGGAAATATTAATATTTCATTTCACAGTCCCTTTCCATAGTGGGAAATTTGACCATATTAGGAGACATTTCACGACCATCTTTTTTGTCCCACTGTGCTGGGAGGCTCATCCCAGATCAGGTGAAAATTCTTATTGATATGTCACCCCAGGTGTTAATTTCTGGATTAGGCCCATTGATAGATAATAAAAGATTCTCTGGATCCTCTATCTTCTAACCTATTAGGATCCAGGAGATATTTCCCTCGTTGCTTCTTCCCATACCAAGAATCACACTATTATAATTATTCTATGTTATAAATGTGACCTGTTTCTTTAAGATGTTTAGCTATCATTAATTTGGTCTAGGGCCTGGTTACACAGTGTATAATGCAAAAAGACCTTTATAAAGTAGACAGATTACAAGTAATACAGCTAATAAAGTTATTTATGTTACAAGTAGGGATTTAAACCATGAGCTTCCAAAACCAAACCATCTTCCCAAAAGATTATCAAGATTAGGAAGTGGATCATCTAATGCAGTAATCTGATTTTTCATGTGATTCATTAAATGTGTTACCTTAGAAGATTCACCTGGTGTGCAAACACAGCATTCAGTTTGAATGATGGCACAAGTGCTCCCTTGAGATGCTGTTAAGTTTATCAAGGGCCACACAATTTTGTAAGACAGCTTTACTCATCATAGAGACCTCAAAATTTAGAAAGCTAATAACCTGGTTGCTAGCATTTAAGGCCTTTTGAGTGAATTCTGTTAAGGCTTTAGTGTGAGAAATAACTTTTTCCAATCCTACTGAGAGCACAAAAATAGCTGCTAAGTGATCATACCAGTGAAACACAGATCTCTTGGTCCATCAGGCTCATACTGATGGTAAATTTGCTGGAGTAACATCTAAATTTGTACGTAAGTGGACTTGAGCCCAAGGGAATCCTAAAGTACACCTTTCTAGCCATCCTGATGGAAGCCAGGGCCAGAGATTGGTCCCACAAAGCCATTAAGTCCCGTTAGCTACCTCCCAGTATATTTCTGGTCGTCTGACCCAATCTGTTCCGTACAAATCACTATCTTTAAGGGAAATGATATATGATATACTGGAAATTTTCATAAGGCATCCAGCCTAATTTTTTAGTGTTATAATGCTGATTATCTTTAGTATGATTTAATTGTTCCCAGACTGGGGGGTCTTTAGGCTTAGATGACCAGAGCCTGGTATTAGCCAGATAAATCCAACCCATAACTGAGGAAGTGTCCTTCCTAACAGTCTAGAGTTTACATTTTTTGACTGAAATGTAGCTTCTTGTTCCTGTTGAGCTTGTGTAACCTTAAGGGATATTGTTTTTGCTTTGGCTCCATCCCTTCATTCTTTCTGGAGTTATTTCTCCACTGATCTCCAGTAGCATATTGGGCACCTACTGACCTGGGGAGTTGCTCTTTCAGTATCCTATCATTTTGCCTTTTCATACTGTTTATGGGGTTCACAAAGGCAAGAATCACAATAAACTGTGGAAAATTCTGAAAGAGATGGGAATACCAGACCACCTGACCTGCCTATTGAGAAACCTGTATGCAGGTCAGGAAGCAACAGTCAGAAATGGACATGGAACAACAGACTGGTTCCAAATAGGACAAGCAGTACATCAAGGCTGTATATTGTCACCCTGCTTATTTAACTTATATGCAGAGTACATCATGAGAAACGCTGGGCTGGTGGAAGCACAAGCTGGAATCAAGATTTTTGGGAGAAATATCAATAACTTCAGATATGCACATGACACCACCCTTATGGCAGAAAGTGAAGAAGAACTCTTTAGTTCTTGATGAAAGTGAAAGTGAAAGAGGAGAGTGAGAAAGTTGGCTTCAAGCTTCAAGCTCAACATTCAGAAAACTAAGATCATGGCATCCAGTCCCATCACTTCATGGGAAATAGATGGGGAAACAGTGGAAACAGTGTCAGACTTTATTTTTTTAGGCTCCAAAATCACTGCAGATGGTGACTGCAGCCATGACATTAAAAGAAGCTTACTCTTTGGAAGGAAAGCTATGACCAACCTAGATAGCATATTATAAAGGAGAGACATTACTTTGCCAACAAAGGTCCGTCTGGTCAAGGCTATGGTTTTTCCAGTAATCATGTATGGATGTGAGAGTTGGACAGTGAAGAAAGCTGAGCGCTGAAAAATTGATGCTTTTGAACTGTGGTGTTGGAGAAGACTCTTGAGAGTCCCTTGGACTGCAAGGAGATCCAACCAGTCCATCCTAAAGGAGATCAGTCCTGGGTGTTCATTGGAAGGACTAATGTTGAAGCTGAAACTCCAATACTTTGGCCACCTCATGTGAAGAGCTGACTCATTTGAAAAAAACCCTGATGCTGGGAGGGATTGGGGGCAGGAGGAGAAGGGGATGACAGAAGATGAGGTGGCTGGATGGCATCACCAACTCGATGGACTTAAGTTTGAGTAAGCACCAGGAGTTGGTGACGGACAGGGAGGCCTGGTGTGCTGCAATTCATGGGGTCACAAAGAGTCAGACACGACTGAGTGACTAAACTGAACTGAACTGAACTGAACCTTAAGGGAAAATTCATATTTATGGCCAGGGTCAGAATATGCATGTTAGTTTCGCCAAGTGAGTGGGTCCCACTGAGTGATATCAGTAGTAGCCCAGACCAAACTATAATTCTTTTTTTCTAAAATAAACTTTCTAAGAGCCATCTAGTCAGAACCTTCGGGGGAGAAACCCACCAAGATAAACCAGAGGTACTGGATGCAGGTAATTGACCGCAAACCCAACAATTTAATTGATTTCTAAAATATGCATAAGAGAGGGCCCATGATACAAAAAGATTTGATTCATGTGCAAGTCCAAGAAATCAAGAAGAAAACGTAATGAACAATCATACTGGTCAGGTCTAGTATTTTGGGACAGTTGTCTGCTTCTGATATTGTCTTCTGATCGTTCTGGCATTGGTACTTTATTATTATCAGAGCACTGCTTTAAGATGAGTTTGAGGTCAACGATTCTCTCTACAGTCCAGCCTGGTGCAGAAGCCCTTTTTAGGGAAGAAAGATGAATCCAAGAGTCGATTTACTTCAGTTTTGCTGCACATGAGCTTGTTAAAAGAACCTGATAAGGGCCCTTCCATCTAGGTTGGAGGGAGTCCTTTAAATGACATCTTTTCCAATATACATGATCCCCTGGTTGTAAGTCACAGGACATCTGATCTTCATTTGAAGATAGATCACTGTGATAAACTTTGGAAACAAGTTTAGAAGGATTTGCCAATAATTTGATTAAACACTTGCAATAATGTAATATATCTCCCTTTAGTAATGTAGGGTCATATGATCCTCATCCAATCTCATTTGTCTCCCTGTAATGATCTCAAAGGGAGAGAAATGGTGTTTGCCAAAATGAGTGGATCTGAGGTTGAGGAGGACCAATGGAAGAGCCTTAGGTGAGCATAAGGAATAAGCATCCATAATTTTAGCCAACTGAGTTTTAATTGTTCTATTTGCCGTTTCTATTAACCCAGAAGACTGGGGGTAATAGGTACAATGGAAGTATTGCATAATTGGCCACATTTTACAAGCTTCCTTAACAATTTGTCCAGTAAAATGAGTTCCTCTGTCACTGTGTAGTTCTGAGGGGATTCCCCAGATGGGAACAACTCTTTCTAAAAACAGCTTTTCTCCCGATCATGCCATGGCCCTTCTGCTTGGGAATATCTCAACTCGGTGTGAAAACACACAGATCGTAAGAAGAACTGGTTGGTAACCTTGCAAGGGAGGCATCTGCATAAAACCTATCCTGCCACATTTCCAAAGGGCCTCTAGGTAATGGAAAACTCCCCTGAGAATTTATGCAATGGCTTTCCTGGATTATATTTTGGACATGCACTGCATCCTGAATAGATCTTCCCAAACTGTAGTAGAGGAAGATTTCCAAAAATAGTGTTTGCCCCATAACACCATCTTATCTGTGTTCCAATGAGTTACCTCATGAATATATTGTAAAACAGGATACTGAGCTCCAAACAGAAGGACAGGCTTCCTGTTTGGACCTATCCACAGCTCTCTTTTAGAGTTGAATCCTCCTCCTTTCTGTATCTAGGTGTATTTTTCCTTGTCTGGTGCTGTTCTCTGAAATCTTAATAACATGTTAGAGAGGTTACTGGGAGACTGAAAGGGAAAGGCAGTAGTTAGTTGGCTATGAATAATTTGAGAGGCTGCTGCCTTGCCGGTGTGATTAGTCTAAAGTTTCTTTTTGCCTCGGCAGTGTCAGTCCTTGAATGGCCTGATACCTTAATAATATCCAGCATACTTGGTAGCAGAATTGCATCTCAAACTCCACTACTGGTTTCCCATTTTTGATAGGCTGTCCTGAGGATGTTAGAAACCCTCTTTGTTTCCGAAGTATACCAAAACCATACGCCACTCCAAAAGCATAGTGGCTGTCCTTTGTAGATATTGACAGATTTTCCTTTTGCCAACTGACAGGCCCTGGTTAGTGCTATTAACTCAGCCTGTCGAGCGGAAGAGACATTAGGCAAATTACCATTTTCAAGGATAGACATTGGGGAAACAGCAGCATAGCCAGCCTGGTATTTTCCATGAGGTCCTTGTAAATATAAATTGTCAGTGAATAATATAAAATCAGGGTTATCCACTGGACTCTCTTGAAAGTCAGTCTTAGGGGATAGAAGGTTGTCAGTTAAGGCAATACAATCATGCTTTGCTTGCATCATCCAATTTTTCTGGGAGCAAGGTAGCTGCATTGTTTGATACACCCGTGGAGAGTTATATTTGATGAGAGCAGGACAATCTCATGAGAGGTTAATCAACTTGCTGAATAATGCTGTGTGTGATGAGAGTTTAGTCAGGCTTCCACAGAGTGTGGAACAAAGACAGTGAGAGGGTGATTCATAAATATCTCCTCCGTGGTTCGACACATGGCAGCTGCTGCAGTGATAGCTCAGAGGTAAGGAGAAAGGCCCTTTGGCTGCTGCTTTTAGCTGTGGGATGTGTATCCTATCGGTCGGTAATGGCTGCTGTGCTGTTGGGTTAATACTCCTAGTGCATTTCCCTTGTTCTCATGGACAAAGAGGAAAAAGGGTAAATCATAATTTGGATGCCCTAAGGCTGGGGCCTTTGCCAGGAAGCCCTCAAGGGTCTCCATGGCTTTAGAGTGTCCTGTTCCAGTAAAGAGGTTCAGTTTGATCTTGTTTAAGTAAATTATATAATGGTTGAGCTATTAAATTTGGAATCCAAGTCCTGCAGTAGCCTGCAAGACCTAAAAATCCTCTTTAGTTGTCTGTTTGTTCTCAGAGCACAGAAGGCCAAAATGCTCGTTACTCTGTCTAGATCAGTTAAAAGCCCATCTTTAGATATCACATGCCCTGGGTACTTTACATTAGCTTTACAAAACTACAATTTCTCTATAGACACTTTATGTCCTTTTGAAGCTACCTTCTAGAGCAAGTACAGGCTGTCTTACTGACTATTAAGAAACTTAAACACAACAGAGAGCCACCTACGTATTGTATTAAGACCAATTTATGAGGAAAAACTAGATCTTCTAAATCTGCTTTTAATATCTGAGAAAAGTAAGTGGGGCTGTAAGTGTAGCCCTGTGACATCACAGTCCACGTACGTTGCTGTTCATTCCAAGTGAAGGCAAAAAGATACTGATCATCAGGATGCACAGGGCTAAAGAATGCACCGCAGAGATCTGTCACTGAAAAGAAGTCACTATTTTTAGGGATACAGGACAGTAAGGTGCGGGGGTTAGATACCAACCACAGAGTGTCAAGGAATAACAATAGCATTGATAGATCTTAGATCTTGTACAAATCCCCAACCCTTGCCGTTAGGTTTAACTGGCAGAATGGGAGTATTACAAGGACAAGTACATGGCACGATAAGCCCTTTATTAATGTAAGCTGGTATCAAGGGTTTCATTCTCTCTATAACTTTCTGCCTCAATGGATATTAGCGAATATTGGGCAGGGGTTTATTTAGGTCCATGGTAGTTTTAACAGGTGATGTAGAATATATTCTCCCTATGTTAGTGGAATTACATGCCCATAATTCTTTTTTTTTTTCCATTTATTTTCATTAGTTGGAGGCTAATTACTTTACAATATTGTAGTGGCTTTTGTCATACATTGACATGAATCAGCCATGGATTTACATGTATTCCCCATCCCGATCCCCCCTCCCACCTCTCTCTCCACCCCATCTCTCTGGGTCTTCCCAGTGCACCAGCCCCAAGCACTTGTCTTATGCATCCAACCTGGGCTGGTGATCTGTTTCACCCTTGATAATATACATGTTTCGATGCTGTTCTCTCGAAACATCCCACCCTCGCCTTCTCCCACAGAGTCCAAAAGTCTGTTCTATATATCTGAGTCTCTTTTTCTGTTTTGCATATAGGGTTATTGTTACCATCTTTCTAAATTCCATATATATGTGTTAGTATACTGTAATGGTCTTTATCTTTCTGGCTTAATTTACTCTGTATAATGGGCTCCAGTTTCATCCATCTCATTAGAACTGATTCAAATGAACTATTTTTCATGGCTGAGTAATATTCCATGGTGTATATGTACCACAGCTTCCTTATCCATTCGTCTGCTGATGGGTATCTAGGTTGCTTCCATGTCCTGGCAATTATAAACAGTGCTGCAATGAACATTGGGGTGCACGTGTCTCTTTCAGATCTGGTTTCCTCGGTGTGTATGCCCAGAAGTGGGATTGCTGGGTCATATGGCAGTTCTATTTCCAGTTTTTTAAGGAATCTCCACACTGTTCTCCATAGCAGCTGTACTAGTTTGCATTCCTACCGACAGTGTAAGAGTGTTCCCTTTTCTCCACACCCTCTCCAGCATTTATTGCTTGTAGACTTTTGGATAGCAGCCATCCTGACTGCATGCCCATAATTCTTGAGGGACCAAGCCTAGCAATTTTTCTTTTTCTGCAACACCTTTGTCATGGACCATGAACGTTAAGTGATGAGAGAAATCTGATGATCTTTTGGGTCTAAAAACATTTCTCCCTTAGCAGTAAACAAAATCTGGGCTTCATAAGTTTCTAATAAACTATCAGGTGAATAGGGGAAATTTCTCCTGGGAAAAAAAGAGTTTTCTATTTAAGTTCTCCTAAGTAAGATTCTAAAGGAAGTGATTTAAAAGCCTTGCTGGAAGCGTTGGAAGCACTTCCAACTGAAGTATTACTCCAAGGAAGGGAGCCTTTGATTTGGGAACGGCTCCCCTGGTGACTCAGACAGTAAGGAATCCACCTGCAACGCGGGAGACCTGGGTTTGACCCCTGGGTTGGGAAGATTAACCTGGAGGAAGGCATGGCAACTCACTCCAGTATTCTTGCCTGGAGAATCCCTATGGACAGAGCATCCTGGCTGGTTACAGTCCTTGGCATTGCAAAGAGTTGGACACCACTGAGCAACTAGGCACACACAAAACTGAAGAGACAGCTCCAGAATCTACTGGGGCTTTAGTCGAATTTTCCTTGAATATTCATTTCCACTTCCCCAAGGGTATTAGAAGGGAGGAGGGGAAAGACTCCCCTTGTCCTCCTCTCGGAGTAGCCCAATTTAGTCTGTCCTCAAGTTTTTTTTTAAATTTTCTGCAGTCCCTTTTTAGGTGACCAGACCAGTTGCAGTAAAACTTTGTCAGTTGTGGATCAAACAGAGATTTGCTAACCACCAACTGTCCTGGTTTACTTAATTCCACAATTGAAGTTTCATAATTTTTATAAAGGTGTCTTTCTTTTTAATGGTTTTGAAAAGTTTGTCTGCCAGCATGGCAAGGGTGTTTGTCTATAATGCAGACCAATCTAAATTGTGTCTCAATTCAAGTAGCCACTTCCTCAGCGAAACCTTCTAGAAAGGCAGAGTGGAATACAGGATCATTTTGGCGGTTAGAGAATGACTCAGGTGTCATGCCTGAA